TGTTCAAAACCCACCTGGATGCTTTCCTGTGCAACCTGTTGTAGGGAACCTGCTTTGGCAGGGGGGTTGGACTGGATGATCTCCTGAGGTCCCTTCTGACCCCACCATTCTGTGATTCTGTGAAGGTCCCAGAAGCCTCCTGAGCACATCCTGCTGACCTGAGGATGTCACATGAAGAGTGTCATGATCTAAAGGTCTTGTTCAGGGACAGAAGCCATCACCTGAGCATGTGAGCACAGCTATTGCTTATCTCCCTAGGCAATAGCATTTCAGATAGCAGTGACTGCAGACTTTGGCTCACCTTTGTCAAGTAGTGAGTATGTCTGATGTGTACTGTGAGACCTTCTCGGTCTTCTGCTGAGGTGGAAGAGTCAGCAGTGTGCCAGAGCAGGGAATGTTGCAAGACAGTGACTTTTTTGCAGTCTTTGTCTTGCACTCTGTGACTTGGCTGGCTTCCTGGCAAAGCTTCTCCTTAGCTGTTGTTGTAGATGACTTACAGAATGGAAATGGAGGCTTTTGCTGCCCATGTGTGACACAGCGTAGGGATAATACTGAGAACACGGAGAGTTCTTCAGATCCTGGTTTGCCTTGGTGGGAAGGTGAGATAATTTCTTCTCTAGTGCTGCTGGGTGCGATGCAACTCATTGCAATTGTTGGGTTGTTCTTGCAAGCTTATATGCTTACTACTGCTGCTTGGATCCTGCAGGATGAGCTCTTATTCTTTGCTTTCTTCATGCTTCAAGCATTGGAACAGTCTGCCCAGGGAGGTGGTGGAGTCACCTTCCCTGGTGGTATTTAAAAGATCGGTAGATGAGGTGCTTAGGGACACGGTTTAGAGGTGGAATTGGTAGTGTTGGGTTTATGGTTGGACTTGATGATCTTGAAGGTCTTTTCCAGCCACTACTTCTATGGTGGTTCTATGATTGTATGGTCACTCTGCTGCTCAGCTTGCTGGTAGGCTGAGCACCCACCTAAACCACTCACTTTTCATTCTGCTCTTTGGCTCCTGGTGCTGAGCAGCAGTGTCTCTGCAGTCCTTTTTTTTGTTTCCACGCTGGAATGTGCTGCTTACTCATCCTGTTCCTCCAAATAAAATGGGCAACACTGGTCTTTGGTCATATCTGGCACTTAAATATTAACAGGTTTTTTTACTGTAATTGAACTGCTTTATTGCTTCTGTAGGCAGCCTTAGATCTGTTTGAAGAAATCTGTTATTACTATAGCAGATGGATGGACCTTTGCTCCCACTGAATCAAGTCTTAGTCTCAGACACCAGCTGGGAACAGGCATGTTAGTACAGTGGGGTAAAGGTCCAGCTTCAGTCCCAGCATTGTAATAATCCATCTGGGATGTAGCACAGATGTCCTGCCTATGTCTCATCAAGGGAACACTGAGCCTTCAAGGAGCTGAGGGCCGTGTGGGACTGGAGAAGACCTTGAAAGCAAAAAGAAAAAAAACTGTTGGAGGTTTGTTGCAAAAATCAGACTGTTGGGGATTGGAAGGGACCTCAAAAGATCATCTAGTCCAAAAAGTGGTGTTGTCAAATGCCAGCCACAGCAATTGCTTCAGCCAACCTAATAAGGCAGCCCAGCAGCTCAGTGTTTGCTTAAAGGGTTGAAGGTGCAAGGAAACTAATAGTGAGTGATCAACCTCCTAAAAAACCCCTTCAATTTTGCTTGAGACTAGGAATAAGTTATTACAACTCCTAAAATTCTTGCTTCTAGATTAAATTTAGAAATGGCCTCAAGTTGTGCTGGGGAGGTTTAGATTGGATCTGAGGAAAAACTTCTTCACCCAAAGGGTTCTCAGGCGTTGGAACAGGCTGTTCAGGGAGGTGGTGGAGTCGCCTTCCCTGGTGGTATTTAAAAGATGGGTAGATGAGGTGCTCAGGGACATGGTTTAGAGGTAGAATTGGTAGTGTTGGGTTTATGGTTGGACTTGATAATCTTAAAGGTCTTTTCCAACCACTACGATCTGTAATTCTATGATCTATGACAGCTCTGCCTTTGGTGTTGGCAGCTTAGACCCTGGGCTGAGTTTATGCATCAGCAGATCTAAGATTTGCACCCCTTGCAGATAAGGGCACAATTTTCTGTTGCCTGGCAGTCTTTGGTTGCCCTGGCTTGACTTGGGTGGAGGAAGAAAAGTTCAGCTTCTGTGAACTCATCTGTTGTGGGACAACCTGTGGAGGGCAGTGGCAGCCTGCATGGGACCAACTGATGGGGAAAAGTGAGGACTCTTGGACATGTAAAACTGTTGTGAGCATTTGATTCCCATTAAGTCTCCTGTGCTGCTCTGATATTCTCCTTTTTCCTTGCCATGGGTGTAGATGAGCTGGTTCCTTCCACACCACTTGCCTTGTTCCTGCACTACTTATCATAGAATCATAGAATTTCCTGGCTGGAAAAGACCTCTGAGATCATAGAGTCCAACCATATGCAAATGTTGTGGGTGGGCATGGCAGGTATCACCAAGCAGGGGAAGTGTAACCCTCTGCCTCCATAACAGGAGGTCTTGGAAAGCAAATGGAGAGTGATAAGGCTGTAGCTTGGCTGGGGCTTTTTTGAGGTATGCAAGTGATTGGTTCCACTGGGAACTGGGTGTCCTTGCACGTGGTGGAGGGGTTGGAGCAGGGTGCTTGCCATGGCTGGCAGCAGGAGAACAGCATGTCTTCTGTATGAGAGCAGATACGTGGCTTTGCCAAGCTTAGCTCACAAATGCCTCGTGTTCCAGAGTGACAAGGACAAACCTTCTGTTTCAGTCAGCTTCCTTTTAAAGCAGCTGTGCTTGGTACAGGTGAAGGATGAGGTTTGGACCCTGGAAACCACTACCCTGCTCTGACAAGAGCTCTAAGAAGTGTCTGCCACTGGTTCAACCAAGCCATGTGTGTCTGTAGCCACCAGGCCTTGAGTCTCCTACAGCTGAGAGATGGAAGTGTTGCTTACCATATTACGGCACTTTTTTTTCCCCTCTGGTCTTTCTTGGAGAGTGATTTCCAGTCTAGTTTGGGAGCCCTGTTTGCCCTAACTGGGTTAAGGAACAACCTTGTCACCCTGGGGAGTGAAAGCAAAGTCATCTACTAATTGGGCAAGA